CAGAGAAATTGAAAAACCTGCAACAATCGCGAAAGACAAAGTACGAGTCATCAGTTGCACGATGACCAACGTGAAAATTACGGATGGACAAGCTTGTTACTTTCACGTCAACGGGAAGCCTGTCAGAGTGGCTTGGACACTTCCACCGCACCCTGGGGCGTCGTCCTCTAACTTCAAGTTGATAGCCAAGCTCGAGTCCACTAGTGGTCTCAGTGTCACTGGGCCTTACTATACTCCCCAATCCCGATATGCTTGTATCCCAAAGAGCTTAATAATTTTTTGTACAGATGCCACCTTTGCGGAAGCCCATAGTCCTTTGCATGCTCGGGGAGACCGTCACGAGGACTTATCGACAACTGTCGTATGGATAGACCCGACGAAATGGCTACGTGAACTTTTCGATAAAGACCATAACTGCTGTTACCGGGGATCTATTGAGGAGACATGTACCCTTATTCAACCACTTTCGCACAGCATACGCTTGGGCTGCGTTAGGGAGCCGAAGACAACCCTAGTCAATCAACCAGCCATACCACGCCATTTCGGTGAGGTGGCGGACCTACAATATCCAGAAAAGCCGGATGATGATGGGGGTGTGAACGTTGCTTCCTGCTATGCTCCACATAATCTACCGAATGAGTATGACTCATACTCACCGGCGCGTAACACAGCTGCTTTTGTATGAGATAACAGTAATTGAACTTGAATCAAAGGGGAAAGAAGGTGGGTAGCGCCAGGTTTTGATATTAAGCATCGGGAAGCGGTATTTGAGGAAGAATTTGTCGTGGTGTATTCTTGACATAGAGCCGTACCGACACCCTAGAATCCTTTGTACCTCGATGATCTGGTCCGATACGGTGGATTTGAATTCTTTCTACTCTTACACTAATAATTGGTACTAAATATTATTAAGAAGACATGAACTTCATATTTCATTCTAAATACAAGTGTTGCACCTAATTTGACCCCTCACACTTTAAATCCACGATTGAACGGCCGCGATTTGTTTGGGAGGCTGTTGGTTCAGGTGATTGATTTTGGGGTTTCTAACCCACGAAGGGGGGGCTTTCTTTTCCATTAAACAAGAATTACTGGAAAGCTGCAGAGTTTGCTCTTTCCGCATGGAATTTTTGGCTTTCGGTCGCAGATGTTGCAGCTGTAGTGGCGTGGGTGGCAGGGGTTTGTCGAGGTACAGAGGTTGGCAAACCTCTTTCCCTGGTATTTTATCACCAATGGGCGAAGGGCATATGCAACACTCGTCTAGAACCCATCTTACTGTTTTCTTTTGTTCAGGCATTGGTGTAGCGCTCCTACTTCATGTCCTGAAGACAAGGCAAGGAGGCGACTACCTTGTAAATACTACACGAGCTGTCCAAAATTGGACCAGGGCCTGGCGGCAACCGCGAAGCATCCTTAGATGGACCAAGGACGTAGTTCAGAATTACTTACCATACGGCGATTTGTCTTCGCAAAAGTATTGAGAGTGCTGAGTTGTCGAACTTAGCCCTGCTTTGTGAGGACACTTGTTTCTGCGATACCAGCTAGTTACACGTAATTTTCTATAATTAGGCATTGATAAATATTTAGTTACTGGCAGTGTGTATTTAAGACAAATCAGTAATATGTAAGTATAGCCCACTGTGTAATCACAATACAGTAAGTACTCTAGAG